CCCCCCCTGATTGCAATGAAGACCCGACGCTGCGACGCCCAATTTCGGCAGACGCTTAACTGACCCACACAGCGCCAAGCCCTCCTGGACTGGGGCGGATGATGCCGACCCTGATGTTGTCTGCGTTGCACCCCGTCTTCTCTCGCATTGCAACTCGGTCATTCCCTTCCGTTAAGGAGTCGTCGTACTTAGTAGGCCTGGCAATCTTGACACCATCCGTGGCTGCAAATATTCCCCGCAGCTTTTCAGCGAATGTGTCCGCCGTCTACTAATTAGTTTTCTTTGACAAGCCTTTCAATACATTTTATTTTCCAACATGATAATATGACGCTGATTAATTCTCTAAAATGCCATTGCAGGAATTATCGCTACGAATGTTTACACGAGTACGTACAACAACAAACAAAATGGTTTCATTTACATAGCATCTACCTCAACGTTTGAATCAAATATATAATTATTAAACTTAATTTTATATTTTAGTCTCTTTCCCAACAATTATAATATTATTTCCTATCCACTTCTGCTAAGGTAGAAATGTTTTATAATAATGTGAAGGTACTGCTGTACACTGCTTTGGCGTGCCGTTGTTATCTTTAATTATTAGCTATGTCTTTACTAAGTACTAATTTATACGTAAGAAAGAGTAAATTTTCAAGAACTGGCTATTATCATTAAAATATTTTGCTACTTTTGGCAGAAAAGGTTGTAGGATATAATTATATTTTACATATTTTATGTGTCCTACAGAGTCTCAATTTGAAACTGAATATTTAAATGCGCAGTAATTACGCAGGCATAACTCAAACTGCCAAGCAGATAGAAATACAATCTAAAACCAAGGACGAAACTCAACAAACGGCCGGGAAAAGCAAACGGAAGTTCCTCGACATAGCCTTGCTTTCTAAGTATAGCGGATACCGTCATGATGGCACGTGTTTTATCTCTACACAAGATATCTTCAGGAAACGCTCCCTAGCAAAAAAGTATTTACCTTACAAGATCTATGTTTTGTGTATATATGTTTTTGTATACATAAGTAAGCATAAAAACATCTATCAATAAAACTCAAGCATTACTTCAAGACTCTTCAATATTCTAAAGCATAATTCGGATATATCGGACAAAAGTTTTACATTTTAAAAGTATACGAAAACTCATAGTATTATTATGAATCTGGAAAAACAACTTATGAGTACCTAATTGATAAAAATCAATAAGATAAGTACATCCGTATTACTGAAAAAAACTTTGTTTATTCAGCTATATAGGAAAATACTCTTTTTTTAAAAGCGTAATGAAAAACAATGGTAATTAAATGAAATATATCTCTGTTTTAAATTTACAGTCTTTTACTATAGTCTACTATATAAAAATAAGTCGGGTTATCCTTCCTGACGCTATAACTCCAGAACGCACGAACCGATTTCCACGGTTTTGCATTCGTTAGAAAGGTCTCGGGCTCCGTGTGGTTTATAGCAAAGAAAATTCAGGAAAATTTTCAATAGAAAAGCGGGAAAATCTTTTTTCACATACAGCGCTACAAACCAATATTTTAAGTAGATGGCGCCGGTGCGTGATACATTGTTTGACAGCTACTCATTGTTCTCTGCTCAGTTAATTTCATGTCACAAACCGGTATTGTGTTCACTGTGAAATTGTGAAAAAAAGCAAAAAAAATAAGTTATTCGTTTCCTAACATTTCAATTCGAAACCATCAAATCAATCACGTGTATTGTGCAAATTTAAAAATCTTTTTTCACATATAGCGCCATCTCTGATACATAGCATGTACTACAAACCAATATTTTAAGTAGATGGCACCGGTGCGTGATACATTGTTTGACAGCTACTCATTGTTCTTTGCTCAGTTAATTTCATGTGACAAACCGGTATTGTGTTAACTGTGAAATTGTGAAAAAAAAAAGTAAAAAAAATAAGTTATTCGTTTCCTAACATTTCAATTGGAAACCATCAAATCAATCACGTGTATTGTGCAAATTTTTATTCAATTTCAACAGCAGGCATTTGTCTTTAAGGTGGTAAGTTGAACTGTGTAAATTATGTGGATCGTGCGGCTTCATGCCGACTTGCAAGGTAAAAGATACAACACACATAACCAATCACTCCCACCAACACAATGAATTGCAACACATAACAACTACATATACACCACACACTACACCATCACACTATCAGAAGTTACACCGTATTCTTCAACAAATGATTGTTTGCAATTACAGATACAAGGACAAATATATCATTTGCATGGTTCAATGGTGCTAACACCAGATGAACCGCATCAATTTCTGCAAATATATTTCATTTCCTCGATGGTGCTGTGCTTAATGCTGTGGTTAATATGTTCAAAACAGCATTGGAACGAATGCCGTCGGATACGCACAAATTTGTCATAAGAGCGGATTGTACCCCAACAGGTGAACATGTGCGAAGATTCAATGCACCCATCGTTAATGATGTTGCTGCAATTATTGTTGGCGATACAACTAAATCGCGAGACATTGTCGTTCAGCGAAGAAGCAATATCATGCATCGTGTAAACGAGACACATCGTTTGTACGATGCGTTACAATATCCAATCATTTATTGGCAAGGGCAAAACGGATACGACATCACGTTGAAGATGGTCGATCCAATTCCAGGTACAATATTCACACACTAATTATTGCTATTATTGGTTTCCATTAACAATTCATTTAATTTTGCATTTTCAGGCGTATCAACGAACAAAAATCTAAGCGCAGTGAATTACTATGCGTATCGTATGATGATTCGTACACATGAGGAGAATGTCATTCTGAAGTGCCGTCGGCTATTCCAGCAATTCGCTGTCGACATGTATGTCAAAGTCGAGACCGAACGTTTAGCGTATATCCGATTCAATCAGGCAAAGCTACGATCTGAGGACTATATACACTTGCGTGATGCTATTCATTCAGATGGTGATGTTCAGAATATTGGACGTCTGACGATTCTCCTATCATCTTATATCGGAAGCCCACGCCACATGCACGAATACGCTCAAGACGCTATGACGTACGTGCGAAATTATGGAACTCCGGATCTATTTATTACGTTCACATGCAATCCGAAGTGGACGGAAATTGAACGTGAGTTGGAACTGGACCAAAAACCGCAAGATCCCCATGACATAATCGCCAGAGTATTTCAGCAAAAACTCAAGGTTATGATGGATGTGCTTACTAAGTATCGAGTTTTTGGTGACACACGTTGTTATATGTACTCGGTGGAATGGCAGAACGTGAACTACCGCATGCTCATATCCTAATTTGGTTGCTGAACAAATTACATTCAAATGAAGTGGATGACATCATATCAGCTGAAATTCCTGATCCAGTCACTGATCCCCATCTACACGACATTGTGACGACACAGATGGTGCATGGACCGTGCGGTGCATTAAATCCATTATCGCCTTGCATGGCTGATGGAAAGTGCACAAAACGATATCCGCGACCGTTAGTTGCTGAAACAGTCACAGGGAACGATGGATATCCAGTTTATCGTCGGCGTTCAAAAGAAGATAATGGTCGAACTATCAAAGTTAAAGTTCAAAATCAAGAGATTGAGATCGGAAATGAATTCATTGTACTATATTGCCCGCTGCTATCACGAATTTTCGAAACACATGCAAACGTTGAGAGTTGTCATTCGGCCAAATCAATCAAATATTTGTGCAAGTACGTCACAAAAGGCAGCGACATGGCTGTGTTTGGTATTGCGTCGGAAAATGCGAATGACGAAATCAGCAACTTCCAAATGGGCAGATACGTCAGTACTAATGAAGCACTGTGGGGATTATTGTCATTTCAAATTCATGAAAGATATCCCACAGTTGTACATTTAGCAGTGCATTTGGAAAATGGCCAAAGAGTTTACTTCACTGAGGCTAATGCGGCACAACGAGCTGAGAGACCACCATCGACAACATTGACTAGCTTCTTTGCAATGTGTGAAGCAGATCCATTCGCAGCGACTCTGATGTACGTTGAAATGCCCAAGTATTACACTTGGAATCAATCAACAAAGAAATTCCAACGTCGTAAACAAGGAACCCCAGTTCCAGATTGGCCACAGGTGTTTTCCACTGATGCACTAGGTCGCATGTATACTGTTCATCCTAGAAATGATGAATGTTTTTATTTGCGACTGCTGTTGGTAAATGTACGTGGACCAAAATCATTTGCGCATTTGAAAACTGTGAATGGCCACCAATGCCAAACATATCGAGAAGCATGTCAACTATTGGGTTTGCTGGAGAACGATTCACATTGGGATTTCACACTTGCGGATTCAGTTGTTTCATTAAATGCGTACCAAATACGAACGCTGTTCGCAATTATCATCACCACATGTTTTCCTTCACAACCAATTCAGTTATGGAACAAATACAAAGACGACATATGTGAAGATATCTTGCATCGCTTGCGCATTCAAACGAATAATCCTGACATCCAAATAACCGATGAAATCTACAATGAAGGATTGATTCTGATTGAGGATCAATGATTGACTATTGCAAACAAGCTACTGATTGAAGTAGGAATGATTGCGCCAAATCGATCGATGCACGATGCATTCAACCAATAATTAAATCGAGAGCTGCAATACAATGTTGATACATTGCAGGAATTCGTTCGAAATAATGTGCCGTTACTGAATGAACAGCAAAAACAAGTATACGAAACATTAATGCAAGCGGTGGACAATAATACTGGTGGTCTATTTTTCCTGGACGCACCTGGAGGAACATTGAAAACATTTGTCATTTTATTGATTTTGGCCACTATTCGATCAAGATGTGACATAGCTTTGGCGTTAGCATCATGGCGGTCGTACTGCACATTCTGCGCTTAAGTTGCCACTCAATTTAAATACAATTGATACTTCAACATGCAATATTTCCCGATCCAGTGCAATGGGAAAATTGTTGATGCAATGCAAGCTCATTGTTTGGGATGAGTGCACAATACATGGCACATAAGAAATCACTTGAAGCACTTAACTTCACACTGAAGGATCTTCGGCAAAATAACAACATCTTTGGCGGCTTGATGATATTGTTGGCAGGCGATTTCAGGCAGACGTTGCCAGTAATTCCCCGTGGAACGCCTGCAGATGAATTGAATGCTTGCCTGAAGGCATCACCTTTATGGAACAACGTAAAAACATTATCGCTAACCACTAATATGAGAGTTCAACTTCAAAATGATCAAAGTGCTGCACAATTTTCCAAACAATTGTTAGCTGTTGGAAATGGAAAAGTCCCAGTTGATGCGACATCTGGATTAATTACTCTTACCAACGACTTTTGCCGATTTGTAGACTCTAAATTAGATCTTATTGAAAATGTTTTCCCAAACATTAGTGAGAATTATCAGAATTATGCTTGGTTAAGTCAACGAGCAATTCTTGCCGCAAAGAATAATGACGTATAACGCTTCGATTCAGTATTTACTTTGGATTCACTTTCATTTACTTAGAGAAGTTCAACTAAATAACACTTCAGTTTTGTAATCGAAATGAATTCATTACTGTTGTGAAATGAAATAAAAAATTTCCTTTTCAAATATAAAACAAAAAAAAAATCTTCTTTTAATCACCAAACGAAATGTTACATAAAACGAAGCCATCTGGTAGCGAAACGGAGTTCGCCGGGTTTGCTAGTGTGTAATAAAATTAAAATTGTGTACGATTTACAAAGATATTATTGTAGGGTACTTTAAGGGTCAGAATCATTTAATGTTATTGCAAGGTGTCAGTGTTACTTAAATGAAACTATAAGTACCCCAAAACAGGAGTTTAAAAATACTTGACATAAAATATCTCATCATCTATATAAAGCCGCTTTCTACTGCGCTGAGTGTTATTGGTTCGATCCCCACATGGGACACCACTTTGTGTGATCCACAAATTGTTGTTCTGAGTCTGGGTGTTCTTTGTGTCCGTTTCATGTATGTTTGTAAAGTCCCCCGCGACACAGGATATAAATTCCAAATGCGGAAGTTGTCTTAAAAATAAAACTTTATTTATAAATCCTTCCCGTTTTAACGTAATACTTTATATTAAGCTTGTCAAATTGAAACTAAACCTAATAAATTAAATTGATTACCTACATTGGTCCTGATATTAATTAAAATGCCTATTACATTGAGGTTAATTTAACTGTCTTCATGCTAACTGATCAATTTTGCTGTTAGTTGTTTGATGGCGTCGGTTTCATTAAATTTAATTAAGTCGATTCCTTTGATGTGAAGTCCACAGTTCGTTGGCTAGATATTTGACTTCATAGAAGCAATTTCTCAGTTTGGTCGATCCTTAACGTTGTATATTACTAATTAAATGTTTTGTTTGTGTGTTATAGACTAAACCACAAACTTGGACTAGTAAAAATACTGACTTAGTTTGTCTAAAAGTGACAAGACCACAGTTTATAAACATACTAGCCTTTTGCTCCGCCCATGTGTGACAAGGTTATCGCAATAAAAGTAACCTATTTTACTCACTAATAATGTAACTTTCCATTGGTGAAAGAATTGATAAAATCGACATCATAACCATTAAACTCATTTTTTTTTTTTATATTGTGAAAGTCAGTTTGTTTGTTTGTTACGATTACGTAACAAACAAACAAAGTGACATTCACATTTATAATAGTATGGATTATCAATTTATCACACATCATGTATCAAAACTAAAAAAAAACTACCAATATCGATAAAAATTGAATTATTTAAAATATAAGTTAGCCAAAGGAGTACACGTATATTATTCTAAATTAAAGTGGAATAGCGTATAAATGTGCACTTAAAAATAGGACGATAAATTGTAAATCGTAAACACGTCTTATAATATAAACAATGAGAAAGATAGATTGAAGGTTATCTGGAAATCAAAATAACATCTGGAAATGTAAGTTTCCGATTGAACGAGTTAACAAAAATAAACATAGGAAGTAACTTGATGAAACAGATTGCGAGCAATTTGTTGTAGATGCAAGTAAAATCGTTACTATGTTATCTAACGACCGAATAGCGTAGTGGTTTGTGTAACGGACTGCTAATCCAAAGGTCGCGGGTTCAATTCCCGCCCAAGTCAAACATTTGTGTGCATGAACATTTAATGTTTGATTTGGTCTGGGTGTTTCTATGTGTAATATGTATGTATGTATTTACGAAAAAAAAAGTATATATGTATTTATATCAGTTGTCTAGTACCCATAGTACAAGCTCTGCTTAGTTTGGGACTAGATGGCGTTGTGTGAATGTGGTACAATATTATTATTATATAACTCATACTTCTCTAGAATTAGAATGAAGAAGAAGATGACATCCACTATGCTAATATCATATCTTAAGTAAATTCCAAGATTGAGTCTGGAAATCAGTATTTCTGAAAATCTCGAAAACCGAATGTTGACCAAATAGGATTCAACACAGATAGATAGATCTTAACTGTAATTGCCGACGATTAAGACACAATTTTTTTTGAAATTTCATAAGTTAGTGAGCTATTAGAGAATTATACTATCTATAATGCTGTACTTCACTAAGGAGAACTTGCTTGACCGATAGCAATAGCTGCAAGAGCTACAGCAATAGATGACAGCAGCAATACCTCAGCTAAATACTTTTTAACGCACTTAGTCGTCAGTCACTCTTCTAAAATACGAGTACGTAAATGTATGTTGTTTAGAGAGTCGTTTAGATTCGTCATTTAGATTCGTAAAAGTATTATTTGCACACGCTTAACCTAGAGATCACATGGATTTTCAAGACACATTTTAAATCATTCGCAAAATGAAATATCTCTTTTATTAATTTATTTTGCCTTAGAAGCAAACGCTATATTAATACCATATGGAATAAATGCTTAAATACTTTGGTCAATACACTGACCTTCCTGAAGTGACCTTTAGAAGTGCAAATATGAAATGATTCAATATAACTTTTTAGTATGATTGCTTGGATGCTATACATTCGTATTTTTGCATCATTAAAATTACTGATCTTCTTCGACAGTTTTAACATCGTTTCTGAAACACATTGCGTATTTAACATAATACAAAACACAAAATCTTTCAGTCGGTGGTTTTAAAATAAACTGTTGTTTTTATTATAATGGTCTTCCCAATTTATGTGTATGTGTTGAAATATATGGGTCTACAACTGACTAAAGTAAACTTTTATAAAGTGATTTATTTAAACCCGAGACTCGGAGTATATTAAACAACAATGTTTTCTGTTTGTTTCGTTTTATTTATGAGCATATGATTAACTTTTGATATTTTAATCTCTTTTAAAAAGAACATGGGCATTTTTGTTATGAATATGTTTTTTGTTGGAAAATCCCAACGGATCTCAGACTCCTAGGAGACACAGGAGCGAGGAGTATGTGGCATTTCCACTAAAACCATCCTAACGTCCAGCCTCGGAATGATTGACTTTGTACGGGTCCTTCCTGGAATCTCACTCGGACCCGTACAAAGTCAATCATTCCGAGGCTGGACGTTAGGATGGTTTACAGAACAGGCTGCCATACTACAGCAATTAATCTGCCACCAGAGGTCTTCACTTCCTGGCGGTCCGGCCCTAACACAGAATATTGCTCTAGGCGCTAACTAGTGATTTAAATTTCCAAATGTTGTTGGAAGAGAGGGAGATTGACAGTGGCAGGATTTAGACAGATAGAATATGTTGAGAGCATTTGTGTTATATACGTTAGTACAATAAAATAACATGTCAATCCACCGTGGCTTTTTAAATTTTCTATTTCTAATATAATATTTAAAACATTTCTTAAACTAAAAGAAACAAACTTGGCATATGTAAATATATAAATGCATCTGCGGGTTTACGTTGTCAATCTGAATTAGATTGAAAAAACCACATTCCTAGAAATTGTTCGTAAATCGTACAATATTTATTTATATCCATACTAAATTTTCCTGTTGAAATTCTGTCACCAAATGAAATGAGTGTAAAAGATGATATTTGTATACAAAAATGTTTTGTGAAATTATAGGTTTTCTTATTAATGTTTAATTCAACTACTTACATAGAAAATCTGTTAAACGTTTTTTTAATAGGAATAAATAAACTTTCGCGTTCCATTTCATATAATTTGGTGTGTTTACGGTAATTAATAATTCAGAATAAGATATTTCGAAACGAATTTATATAACGATATCAAATTGTATATATAGTCAAACAGTGACAGGTTTTCATCATTGTTTTTTAATAGCTGTTATAAACATGACGAAAGAAAAACACCATAACTTTACGAATAGGAAAGGGTTTTGAAGAAATTTTAGCTCCGAGACGGCCAATTTACATTTTCGGACAATCAGCATTTTGGTTGATTACTCGATTTCCAAAAACAGTGATCCAGAGATCGTTGGTCACATTTCATTCTCTTTAATTTTTAAAAACAAAAAATTGTTAAACAAAACGCGGTATTGTTCACTGTTGATGATAATGACAGCTTGACAGACCAAAAACCATACCAAAGAGTTACTTGTTGTGAATTCATATGCTGCTCAATAGTCATGTATAGATTCTCTAATCACAAAATGCGACGATTTTACTTATTCACGTAGTATCCGAGATGGGAATAAGCTTTATAAGAAAACATGATATTACAATAAAAATGCTCATCCTCGGCGAAATGGTTTCTACCCCGTTTGTAGAACTAGAAACACATCAGGTAATTAAGCTTTATTTCTTGAACATAATGAACTTATTAGATTTGGTGTTGATGAATTTTGACGTGAATTCCGAGCAAGAGCGTCAATGTTTTCAGCTGAGTGCACTAAACGAGAGCGTGAACGTGTTATTTTATCCATTAATCTAGTTTTGGGAACTTTCTTCACAATTTGATACACAAACTACCTTCAACGCAGTTTGGGAATCTATTTGTGGAAAAAATATTCATGAAAATTTTAGACTGACTACTGACACTGTCACCGCCCCTATTCATCTCGTGGTTGTCGTAAGAGCCGACTTATAGACAACAGCATTGCAAAGACAATAAAAAAACTAAATAAAACCCTTTTTTTTTTAACTTGTGGAAACCCCCTCGGGCCGTCACCCCACCGGGGTTTACGGCGGGGTGGTGTGTCGGAATCGGACCGACTAAAACCACACGGTGTGCCACGCCTGTAATAGGAGGGATCCGGGAACTGCTGTTATTAGGACCTCCGGACCCCTCCTAGCGCCTGCTCGCAACGATGCGGGCACCACCTTCAGGTACATTCTCTATTTAGGCGACGTCCGGCACACGCGGACGTCGCCTCCTCGCGGCTGGCCGTTATGGCAGGTGGAGGGGAAAACCCGTCCCGTCCACCCGCGGCCACACTGATAGGCGTTGATAAGCGCGCCTCCGCCGCCCGGTTCGCCGGCGACGGATTGGGTCCGAGTGGAGGCTGTCCTCCCGGGCC